AGAACCTGAGTTCGATCCCTGGTACCAAAAAAAAACAACCCCCAAACCAGTGTTTGCAGCCTCGGAATGCAGCAACTCAGCTTTCTACACCAACCTTTAAGACATGTGGATTTGTGAAGTTCTTCCCCACCCTAGTGGCCCCTTCATCTGTTCACTCCAGACTATGGCAACTGTCAAACTGAGGTGTGTTCTTGCTCACTTTGGAGACGGAGAAAGCAATCAGACCACTGATCTGTGCTGAATATAGGGAGCCGGGCAGGAGTTCAAGCAGACTGGTGGACTTACTGCCAGCACTTTCAGATCCAGCTGCTTCTAAAAGCCACACACATCAGGCCTGGCCTCTCATCATGTGTTGTCATGTGTTGTTTTGTTTTTGTTTTTAACTTTTCTTTTTTTGTTGTTGTTCTTAAAATTATTTTTCTAGTTTGTTGTTACTTTTATCTATTAATTTCCTTTTATTCCTTAATAGGATTCTTTGTCTCACTTTTCTCTCATCTTTCATTAATTTTTGACATTTTACTTTTTCCATTTCCCCATTCTCCACCCCCTCTATCTTTACTAGTATAACTATTAAACTTTGTTTTTAGTTAGCTGTATAAACACTATGATATTACTGTTCTATTGTTAGTGGGACTATAGCTTTGCATTTAGTAGCTACTTATTTGGTTTGTCTTAGTGTTTACACTATGTTTACAGATCTCTTTTCAATTGGTAAGGGTTGCCAAAGTGCTTAAGCAAATTCTGAGACATACATTATTGTTTATGTCAATATTTAGTTTGTCTTTGATGCTCTTGTTGCTAATTCTGTTGCTATTGCCAGGGAGGCATAGTTGTTATTATTAATTGGTTTTCTCTGTATGTCAATATCTGGATTGCCTTTGCATCATTAACAGTACTGTTGCTTATTCCTAGAGAACTGGGTGGTGGGCTAATTATACTGCAGCCTCCACTCCCGTTTTTTTTGTTTTTTTGTTTTTTGGTACTGGGGATCGAACTTGGGTCCTTGCACTTGCGCAGCAGGCGACAAAACCACTGGGCTAAATCCCCAGCCCCTCCACTCCCAAGTTAACAGAAGTATTGGTTCTTAGGACAGAGGCAAGGTCCTATAAGTATCCACACCAAGAGTGCAGCACTGGAAAGGAGACACGAAAGAGGTAGCAACAGTCTTTCCAGTATAACCAACCTGCAAACCTCAGCAAAAAAAATAAAATAAAGGATGTGAAGACGTAGCTCGGTTCAAAGGCCATGAGTTCAATCCCTAGTATCATAAATAAATAAATAAATAAATAAACAAATAAATAAATTTTTAGGAAAAATGGAAAAATCTGATGGCCTAGTTAATAACTAAGGCTAAGGTTGTTACATTCCCTTAGAATGTAATCATAAAATTTTTCCCACATTACAATGCACCAGAACTTTTTAAAAGATGAGTTTAACTTCCAGTGTTATGAAATATTAAATATTGGAATGAAAAATGCATGTAAAGAAACAACTAAAGCTCTCCACATTTAAGAAAACAAATTTGCAATTGGTCATGGTGGTGCACACCCATGATCCCAGCATTAGGGAAGCTGAGGCAGGAGGATCACTGAGTTCGAGGCCAGCCTGGGCTACGTAGTGAGTTCAAGGCCACCCTGGACTACATCATGAGATCCTATCTCAAAGAAAAAAAACAAGAAAACAGATTTGATATGCTTCTTAGTTGCCTTTTTTAAGCAGCTTCTGAGATATACAACTAAGAGGGACCGAGTATTTAGTGCAGTGGCACTATGCCTGCCTCACAAGCGCAAGATCCTGAGTTCAATCCCTGGTACCGGGTGTGTGTGTGGGGGGATATACAACTAAGAGTTCAGAAATGTCTGCGCAATCAGAATAGCAGAAATACTTCCTAAGATCATTATAAGGATGAAAATGATATTGTATGTATTGGATTAAAAGACAAGAATGTAATAAATGACAAATAGTACTGGTTAATTATTACTACAATTATAAGGTTAGCAACTATTTTTTGAAGCAGTTTTACATTAACCTTAGCTCTAAGATTTTGTTATCGTCAATGACTGCACCTAAGTGTTCAAGTCAGTTAAAGTGGGCCAAACTGCAAAAGAGGCTGTCCTGTCTTCTGACATCAACTGTAAGTTTGGAGGTGTTTGTAAAAATCACCCTCAGGTTTGATAATTTACTAAAACCCAAAAACTCAATGAAAGGTATTACTGCAGGGAAAGCATATAGATTAAAACCATCCAAGGTAAGAAGCACATAGGGTAGTCTCTGTGGTCCTCTCCCTCTGGAGCTGGGACACAATACTCTTCAATGTGAGAATATTGAACAAAGCATTGCTAACCAGGGAAGCCAGCTTAAGCCTCATATTCAAAGTTTTTACTGGGGCTCCATTGCCTAAGTATGACTGATTGCCTGGGTACTGTGTCAGCTGCAAGGACACTGACATCATGTGACCTCAAGCCTTCACTTTGAATCAGTTATTTTTTATGGCAGGGCTGGCTATAGCCTCAGAACTTGTGGGGCTCTCTCCCTAAAAAACTGTGACATACATTAGCTTCAAAAGGCTGAGGGCAAAGTCCAGATCTGTCTTTGGGGAAGGTCGAGATCAATTTTTTTTTTTGGTGCTACTTGGGATTGAACCTATGGCCTTTGTACTGAGTGGCCCCCAGCCCACTTAAAATTTTGAAACAAGGTCTTGCTAAGGTGATAGGTCGCCCAGGCTGGGTCGAACTTGTGATCCTCCTGCCTAACCCTTCCAGAGTGCTAGGGTTATAGGCATGCACCACCATTCCCAGCAGGGTTGAATTCTTTATTACACATCACTATTTCCTCTGTAATATATTATTACACAAGATGGACCACCCTAACCTTGGCATCTTATGTTCTCAAATGACCACCTCCTCAGCTTTGACTGTTTTTAGTGTATCTTTCAACCTTGTTTGTTTTCTTTCTCTCCAAATGAGTGCTTAAATGTATTCATATACTGTGTGTGTGTGCGTATGTGTGTGTTACTAGGGATTGAAACCAGGCCCCTTACACTGAGCTACATTCCCTGCCCTTTTAAAAAAATTTACAAGGTCTTTTTTTTTTTTTCTTTTGAGACAGGATCTTGCTATGTAGTTCAGGCTGGCCTTGGACTCAAGGCTATCCTATTTTAGCTTCCCCAGTGCTTGGCATGTGCTACCACACCCAGTCAACAGGGTCTTGCTAAATTACTCAAGTTGGGTAGAACTTGGACTACTCATGCCTCAGTCTTCCAGACTGCTGGATTTCCTAAAGTACACTCTAAACATGATCAAAAAAGCATTTAAAAATCTGTCCTGACTTTCGTTCACTATCTCTACCAGTGGAACACAACATAGCCCTCCTTTTTGTACCTTAGGCCATATTTTTGTCCTCTATAACCTGTAGGATTTTGGCCTTAGCAAATCATACTTTGTGTGTGGGTGCATATGTGTGTGTGTATGTTGTATTGGGGACTAAACCCAGGGCCTTAGTACTGAGCTCCATCTTCACCCCTTTTTTAAATTACTTTTTAAAATTTTGAGACAGGGTCCTGCTAAGTCACTAAGTTGCTCAGGCTGGGCTCAAACTGTCAGACCCCCACCAAGGCAGAAGAGAAAAAACTTCCCAGGCAATGTTGCTGCACATCCTACAAGATGTAAAGGATAACAGGATGCCAAGGCCTAGGTTCAAGATAAACAGCCTACCCCATGCAGCAACATCTGTGGGTCCAGATACCCCTGGAGACCACCAGACTTCCTCCACTCCAGAACAAAAAACTTTCTCAACTCTAAGATAAAATTTTCCATTCCTCCTGGCAACTTTCCTACCCCTCCCCTCCCCAAACTCCCCTATGAAGTTTCCCATTGCCCAAGCCCCAGCGTCAATGCTTGTTGCTTCATTTTTGCCTGCCCTGGGGGTCTCAGTCATGCCTCAGTTTACCCTAACACAAACTTGATGATTCTCTCATCTCAGCCTTTCAGAGTGCTGGGATTTTTGGTATGTACCAGCATGCTTGACCCATACTTTCATTTTATACAAATGCTTTACACAATTGGTTTGGAATTCCTTTTGACTTTCATTTATATTCTTTAATTCTGTATGCCAAAATATATCTATTAGGCAAATGAATACTCAATAATTCCTTTACGATGATTTTAAATTAATCACCTGTCAACAACTTTGGAAGTGGTAAGAGATGACTTGCAGATATACTTAAAAATAATGGGCTTGGGGTATAGCTCCATGGTAGAGCACTTGCCTAGCATATAAACAAACAAACAAATAAATAAATGAACTGGGGATCCAGGTATCGCTCAGTGGTAGAGTGTGTGCTTAGCATGAGTGAGGCCCTGGGTTCAATCTCCAGCAGCAAAACAAAACATTGAATTGGCAGCTAACTCAAATGGAATGTTTCTCTGGGCAATTTTCATTTTGTCATTTGTTCCAATTAAAGTCAAAATCCTACTTCATCTTTCCTGATCTGTGCAGCTCTAACTGCGGCATACAGAGGGATGAACACCAGCTCATCTCCAATTGTATTTTTTCTGCCAGCTTGGGCTTAGCAAAATGAGGTCTATAATAAAGTAAGTAGGATCCCAAACTGAGTAGAATCAATAGAAAGTGTCCCTCAAAGAGAAGGATGGAAAAATCTTTTTAGGTTTAAAAATACACCCAAAGACCTGTCTGGGTACTAAAGATGGAGTGTGTAGCTAGCAGGCCAATGAACAGAGCTGCACTGCAAATCTGGAGGCTGGGTTCTCGCATACATTTTCAGTAACTGGAAGCATTTACTAAAAAGCAACCACTAAATGCCAGTTTGTGGTGAAAGAAATGTGGCCAGTGACATCAAAATATATGTAAATATATGAATATTAAAATTGTCATGTAGAAATAAAACACTTTAGAACCTGAGAAATCATGAAGATCTTCTAATTAGTCTAATTGTCTTAGTGTATAAATTAGAAAACTTGAAAATAACCAGTCAATGCACATTAGTACAATTACAGATAATTTTAAAATTAACTCTTGGGTAAGAAGTGGTTTTTAAACTTTCACTTTTACATCAAATTAGATATTGATTACATGTATTGTAAAATAAAGCAGATCTTCCCACTTCACAACTCATGTTAGATTTAACAGTCTCTTCACTGACTCTTTGTACTGAGAAAGGGTAATTTCATTTTCCCCCTCATTCTTAAGACTAACAAGAGACTTCTGATAATTTTCAACCTCTTTAGTACCAAGGAGCTCTTCTTTATTTACTTCCATGTTTTTCTCAGCGATGCTAATTTGGAGAAGTGTTTCCAGGATATTTTTTTCTGAGGAGCTATTTTTCCATATATATTCTTCCATGTCTGCTTCAGTCTTATTTTTTTCCCATTCTTCAGTTTTCTGAAAGAAAAAATAAGTTCTGAATTCTGAGAAGTGTTACCAAAGATAAAAGTACTTTTGTTTGTCTGTTTACTTGTTTTAGTGAAATAGAAGTTTGCAAGATGCGGGCAGCCCTGGTCAGCACTCGGCTGCACTCTGCCTGACCCCTCATCCAGGACTGTTGGCCTGGGCCTGGCTGCAGGGCTGCATGGGGTTCTGTGAACACCAGGCAGGCAAGCTCCATCACCACTCACTAGTTCTGTCTATAGAAGTGACAACTGATTTGCCTTGCAAATTTCACTTATAAAACTATCCTGATTACCAATATATACAGGAAACGTTTGCATGTTAAAATGAGAGGTTAAAATAATGGGAGTTGAAAGGAAACTATTTTTTATCATCGTACATGGTTGAGGGAATGACAGGGCAATGTCACAGATTGCCTCCAATGCTGGACATGGAACTACAGGACTTAAATGTTTGTCCTGTTGGTTTTTGGACTTGCTTTCGTCTCATTCCTTTGTATTCCTTTATTTGTACCTTTTGGAATAGAAATGTCTATCTTGTGCCATTGAATGTTGGAAGGGTTTAACATTCTTTTCATTTGTTTGTTGTTGTTTTTCATTTGTTTGTTTTGGTACCAGGAATCAACTCAGGACCTTGCAGCTTGTAAGGCAGGCATGGTGCCACTGAGCTAAATCCCCAGCCCCATTCTTTTCATTTGTAAAGGGGCTTGCAGCTAAGAGTTTGCCTTAAATCTCAGAGGGAACTTTGGACTTTTAAGCAATGCTGAAACTGTTAAGACTCAGGCAACTTTTAAGAGATGGACTAAATGCTTTCTGCATAAAGGGATGTGCATGAGTCTTTGGGGAGCCAGGGGTGGAATGTTACGGCTTCTGTCTAGATGTCCTCCTAAAGCCTTATGGAGTCACAGAGCAGAGGGGTTTCAGAGGTGGCTGGATCTAGAGTGCGTGGTGCTGGGATCAAGGGTGTATGGTTACTAAATCAGTCCACTGATTGGTCTGGCATAGTTCTGGCTAGGATTAAGGGTGAGTGCTACACTTGCCTAGGGCGAGTGGCCTGCATAAAATATAGACAGAAAGAAGGCTAATGTGCTCTCACTTGCCTACTTGCTGTGGACTTTTTCTCCTCTTCAATGCCCCTCTGCCATGTCACCCTGCCTTGGAGCCAGCTGACTATGGACTGAAACCTCTACAAACTGTAAACCAAATAAACCTTTCCTCCTTTAACTTTGGGTGTCAGGTATTTTGTCTCAGCAATGAAAAAAGTAACTAAAACAATACAGATGCAACATTCTGTGAAAAAGAAAGCAAGGGGTTAACAAATAATATGCACTGGTTCACAGCAATGGTGAATACCAGTCACATTCTCTCCAAATTAATACACAATACCCTGAGCATAAGTACTATAGAATCACTCACCACCCTGAGTAACCACTTTTAAAGGTGCTAACATATTACAACTCAGGTACACACATCAGGCTGTGAGAAATACTACTCCACCTCCAAACCACATTGAAAGAGCCCCAGCTTGAGCAGAGATCCAAGGCTCCTCAGAATTAGCTAAGCATATGCCACGCAGCAGGCCACAGTTCCACCAACTGCCACCCTCCTACCCTTCTCCCCTTTAGAACTCATTAAAAAATGAAAAAAACAGAAGGGCCCCACCAAACACAACAGGCCACTGGGGATGCCCTGAATCAGCAAACCCACTCAGATCAGTAAGGGCCAAGGAAGAGGTTCTCCCACCAGAGACTGCCAAGAGGAAATCCTCCTCTGAATCCTTCAAACTGAGCATCTTTCCTTAAAACAAACAAAATAAAACAAAACTATGCAGGATATCTTCCTTATCTCCAAATTTCTGAGCCAAAGTAGGTATCTGCATTCATAATTCCTGCATGTTTGCCCCACCCTGCTAAACTGAATTTGAGGTTGGAACAGTGCCCCAGCTTATGCTTTAGCAACACTTTATTCAGCTGAGAATCAAGTCTATGTGCCCTTTTTATCTGGTAGGGAGGCTATAGGCTTGGTGAGGGGTGAGGCAGGGACTACTTTGCCTGTGCTCCTCCCCTAGAACCCTGCTGCAAATAATTTCTAATTATGTCTTTGTCATTGATCTAAAAGAGATATTTTTCTTTTTCTTTTTTGTGGTGCTAGTAATTGAACCCAGGGTATCACTTTAAAATAACCGTGATTAATTTGTTAAAGAAAACAGAGGGAACAAAGCAATATGAATATTAAAATAAAGAATTTCAACACAGAATTGGTATCTGTAACAAAGATTCAGCTGGGTATAGCGGAATACACACCTGCACTCTGGGAATCCCAGCACTCTGGGAGGCTAGGGCAGTACTGCAAGTCTGATTCCAGCCTGGTCAATTTATCAAAATCCTGTCTTTAAAAAAAAAAAAGAAAAGAAAAATCTGAAGATTTAGCCCAGTGCAAAGGGGCCAGGGCTCAATCTCCAGAACTGGCAGAATGGGGAAGGGGATATCAAATGATAACCTAGAAAGACACAGTATCTGAAATTAAATCAATGAATGGGTGCAAAAAGCACCCTGAATATAGCAGAAAGCAGGATTAGTGAACTCAAGAGAATAAAATTACATGGTAACAATCAACAAATCTGTACTATGAGATTCTGAGGCCCTTTTTATGTTGTATAATGAACTCCCTCAAGGCCAGCCTGAACTACATAGTGAGATCCTGTTTCAAAAAAACAAAAGCAAAACAATAATTAGCTTCCTCTAAGGTTTATGGTGATTCTATTCAACAAATCCAATACTGGAAGGATAACTTTTACATATCCTAAACAAATAAAATTTTTTAAAAATTTTAAGTTTGCAAGAACATCTTTTGGGGAATTAAAAAAAATTCATAATTTTTCTATAACTTCTGGCTATAAAAACCTATGGCGCTAAATTTACAAAAAGAGAAACAATTAGACACCATGTATTTTTCTGGTGAAAGTCTATAATACCAACTATGAAATACTTTTAAAAAAAAAACCCTCAAAAAACCTAATTAGTGTCTGATTAAGCCTTTAGTTCCAATTATCAACTTAAAGGAAATAGAAGCTAGAGTTGGTGGCACACACCTGCAATCCCAGCACTCAAACACAGCTTGGGCAGCTCAGTGAGACCCTGCCTCAAAAAAAAAATAAAATAAAAAGAGCTGAGGGAGCTGGTCAGTGGGAAGACCCAGTTTCAATTATTAGACCCTGCTTCAAAAAGAAATATAGGTAAGTGTATAAATGCTACACCATGGCGATAAAAATAAACAAAACCCAAATATGAGAAAAGCCTACAAAACACAAACAAACAAACATAAAATAAAATTTTTTCAACACATCAGCTGCAAGAAAACGGACTGTGACCATTATGAGATATTCTTTCAAAACACATTTACTGGAGGGGCTACCAATGTGCCTGGGTTTACAAGAAGAAAGTAGATATCACTAGGATACTGTATTAGTCAGCTTGTAACTGCAGGAGACAAATACCTGACATGTACAATTTAAAGGAGAGGTTTTTCTGCAGTTTTATTACACAGTCAGGCAGAAGGGCATGGCAGAGAAAAGGTGCTAACCTCAAGAAGGAGAGAGGGCTGGAAAGATCCAAGTAAGTGGTCAGGAACCACTGGGGTCCCCAAGGTCATACACCTACGGCCCACACAGACACCCAGTAGAGTGCTTTACTAATCTAGGGAGCCCTCAAACCAGTCAAGGTGACAATATTAAATACAGACACTCTAGCTAAAAACTAATGTTTCTATGTCTGAATACCTTAGAAAAAGGTACATTTGGGCTTATTCATATTAAACAACTTCTGAATTTTTCCTTCAGATGAAATAAAAAGTTCACTAAAGCAAAAACACATTATTCAAACATGATACTGATACTAGAACAAATTTATGTGCCAATCATATAAATGGTTTTGTTTTCATGATTTAAAAAATTCTTTTTTTTTTTTTGGTACGGGGGATCGAACTCGGGACCTTGTGCTTGCAAGGCAGGTGCTGGAACCACTGAGCTAAATCCCCAGGCCGATTTAAAAAATTCTTACAGAAAATATCAGCAATATACAGAAGTAATAAGAGTGCAATGAACTCCCATGTGGCCATGAACTCATGGCCTATCTTCATACATGGCTCTATCCACTGCCTCCTTCCCATGTCTTTATTGAATTATTTAGAAGAAAATACTGTCATCTAATTTGTAATATATTGGTATTTTTCTTTAAAAATTAAGGACTATTTTTAAATCCCTAACTATTCATTTGGTGGTGCTTTAATTCACAAGATCCTAACATAGGTGTGTGTTTTCATCAATTCAACTTAAAAGCCAGCAGCTGCTCTCTGCAGCTCCCGGGCTCCTGACAGCCAATTTCCCTGTTAGGTGTCACTGTGGCTGTCTGGCCAATGGCTGAAGGAAGCCCCTGACCCAAGCAGAGTAACTCCCTTGGAGCTTGACTCTAAAGAAGGAACTTGGTTTAATTTTAAAGTTTTGTCTCTCTCCTTGCCCCCTGCCCTTGGTGGCTGGTCCTATAAAATCTGTACTGATGAAAGTTACACCTTTGGAATGGGAGCCTGGAGGGGGAGAGGAAATCAAGCTACAGAGACAATGAGGCACTACTACCTAGAGAATAACAGAACCCAGAGATGAAGGGTCCTTGCATTGCCCCAGCTCCTTCTCATGGCATTTCTGACCTTTTTAGCATTCCTGCCCTTATCTTTGCTGTTTAAGTGAGCCTGAGTGGTCTTCATGACTCCCAGAGGGAGTCTCAAGGGATATATGGTGCTCAGGAGAGACTTGCGGACACAAAAAGTTTAGAATTGTCAGCACATACATGTTAATTTACATCACCTTGGAGAATATGCAAAATGAGGGAAAAAAGAGAAAAGATAAAACTTGCAAAACATGTTCATTTAATACATTTCGACTTAACATCTAGCAAGCAGACACTTCTATAAATATAATTTTGCAGTTAAAATGGCTCAGTA